ACATTTTGACAGATAATCATTCATAAAATCTGAGTATTTCTTAAAAATTGTGAAATTATTAATTAAACTTGTTTCCAGAAATAAATATCGTTGGAGAGCCTGTTAATATGTCCCAAATCTGGATTGGCATTTCAAATGGTAAAATGACCATAAATCGGCCAATATCGTGTGTTTATAAGTAGATTTACAATAAAGTTCACACATAATGTCCTCTGGCGTTTCTGAACTAATTTCTTTAATCTGATCCACCTCCTTAAATCTCTGAATACAGACATACAACGACGGTTCAACCAGAAGTAAAATATTAGAAGTAGACGCTGGTTAAGCACCTATTTTTCATATCAGCAACCATACCACCATTTCGACAACAACCTATAAGAATTTAAGGAAAAAATCAGCTCCCGACAATAAATTGATAAATCCTGGCGAAGTCCACTTAAGTTAACTTCCAGAAAAATAAAGATTTTGAAGATGCGTATATTTGGATGATCATTATGATCAATGATGATCAAGGATGACATGTTGTTTAATACTTCTGTAATTGTAGAAAGTTGAAGTCATTTTTGAAGATTTTTCGGTTATGAAATATATCATGTTACATGAATCGATCAAAGCTCTTGTTCGATGATATTATCCAAAGCGATCTTGAATATCCAACCAGCGACAGAGAGAAGAATAGTTAATAAAACGTTTTCAATAGAACCGACAGAGTTTTTCGTTACATGTTGCAGTAAAGAGTTTTTCGGAAACCTTGGATGACATTTGTTCAAGACTTCTCACGATTTCGTCAAGTTATATTTACAGGTATTCTGAGAACTCATACAATTTTTACAATATTTATTATTACGTATACCTATATTCAAATTTTTGCGTTGGTAATAAGGGTCAACAGCTGATACAATCATTGAAAAAAGAGGACCTTACTCATATATAGTGGATGTAAATGGAACACTAAAAGGAAAACACGCAGATCAACTACGTCGAAGGATAGCGGTTGACGATGAAATACCAAGAGTACCATCACCTAAAATTGATCCACCACATTTCGAGCCGATTGAAACACCACCGGATGTGAGTGAACCTTCAACGAAACATGATCACCACAAATACAGACACCAGAACATAGAGAAGATACCTGTTGAAGACAACTGTTTGATTCCACCACCTGAAGACGAAGTTTTTAGAAGAAATCGTCCTCGAAATCATTAACTACCTAGCAGGTATCGAAATTAATGTAAATTTTGATAGTTTTCTTTTGTTTTAGTGAGGGAGAAATGTAGTTCATATTACGTCAGCGTCGCGACAGCCGGGGGGAGGCGGCCTCTTAACCCTAGAAAGATAACCATATTTTATAGTACGTTAAAGATAACCAATCGAACACGTCGATTCGACGTAGGTTATCTTTCTAGGGTTAAAAAAGAACAGGTTAAAACATGTTAAAGAAGTTACTTTACAACCGTTGCAGAGAACGGATGCATACTAAAATAATATACCAAACAGATTGTTATTTTCTTTTAAACAATAATTGCTAATAGAGTGATTTAAGCAAACCATAACAGTGTTTAATGTTAACCGACAATACCACAGATGTGATGAATGAGATTGAAATAAAAATAAAGCCCACTTTTACCATCTGCCTCATTAACCATCCGAGGTATAATTACCAGGGTTACAACGGTTTTAAGCGTTCTTATTGGTTAAAAGCTGGGTTTATCTATAGGATAAATTTATCCAGAGGTGGTAAAAGTGGCCCTAAGAAAGATAAATATATAAAGAAAAGAGACGGATAGCGGAACAACTTGTTACGAAAATTGGTGAGGCATCAAATGTGCTGATAAAAAATGAAGCAAACACGCTGACACGGCACGTAGCTGCAAATGCGTGGTGCGCTAGACATCCTAGGCATAGCTAAAATTAAGAAAAACAATGAATAATCCGGCTCGAAGGAGTAAAAATGTCTTCACGTAGTACGTGAAGACATTTTTACGTACTTCACTTTTGTTTTGACAGCCGCTTAATTGAGACAAAATGCGAGACTGTTGGGAGTCAACATTGCAAGAAGTGCTAAACAATATATTAATATTATTATTATATTATTTTATTATTTTTTATATTATATTTGAAGAATATATTTATGGACAAAATATAATGATTGAAACGGGTCATAAGCCATTAGTACCAATATGTGAGAAACCATTATACAAATTAACTTCAAGATTGCAAAGACTGATGCTTAAACTTCAACCATACACATTTAAAACATTAAAACTACACGTTCGAGTGCGGGAAGTTAGCCCCCCATTTTTTGATTTTTAAATTTTTTATTGTTCTGGATTGTTCTAGAGTTGTTCTACATTGTTCCAAAGCGGCAAATCGAAAAAATAAGAACTCCGCGAGAAAACCGAAAAAACTGGTTTTCTGGCTAGCCCCCCATTTTTGAAAAAATAAAATTTTCTTTGTTGTTCTGGGTTGTTCTAGTTGTTCTAGTTACTGTTCTAGATAATCAAAATTATCGGTTACATCATTAGGAAGTTATAACTAAAAATAGGTTTGACCGCCGAAATGTCTAGTTGATTGCTGTGACCATAGTTTTTCTATTATGAATTCCATATTACAAATATATACTTATTATCTATATTACAGATTGGGTTCACTGATTCAACAAAACCTGTCCGATATCACATCAACTGAAATTTAAGGTTTTTCTAGTGAAAATAACAGCTGTTCTAAATTATTTTAATTGTTGTAAGTACTAATTTTTAATATGAAAGTTTAAAAGAACTAATGCCGCAGTGATTAAATAAACATTTTAAGTACCTAGAACAACAAGAACAATTTAGAGCAACAAAAAATATGTGATTTTGCAAAATTAATGTCCGTGTTAAACGTAAAACACATCTAGAACAATTTGAATCGGCAAAGTTTGTGTTATTTTAGATTGGTCTATGTTTTTTAATTCTTATTGTGTAATATAAAACCGCTGACACAAGAATTACTGACTGAAACTTCCAAAAACTTTAATTTTCAAAGAGTAAAGTGCCCTTTAGAGAGTTGTTCTAGTGAAAATAATAGCTGTTCCAGATTGCGTTAGCTATAATAAGTATATATTTGTAATATGGAATTGATAATAGAAAAACTATGGTCACAGCAATCAACTAGACATTTCGGCGGCCAAACCTATTTTTAGTTATAACTTCGTAATGCTGTATCCCATAATTTTGATTTTCTAGAACAATAACTAGAACAACCCAGAACAACAAAGAAAATTTGATTTTTCCAAAAATGGGGGGCTAGTCAAAAAACCTGTTTTTTCGGTTTTCTCGTGGAGTTTTTATTTTTTTTATTTGCCGCTTTGGAACAATGTAGAACAACTCTAGAACAATCTGGAACAACAATAAAAAATTTAAAAATCAAAAAATGGGGGGTTAACTTCCCGCACTCTACACGTTCTAGGAAAATATTTATATGTAGCAGATATAGATAGATTATCGAGAGATGTTGCTGAAATAGGACAAGATAATCAGATGATATTACAAGAACCAATTGAACTGCAAGTGAACTTATTAGTTGAAAATCTACCAGTAACACAAGAATTTAATTACAACTGAAGGTGAGAAAGATGAAAATTATAAAACATTAAGAAATTGAATAATGAAAAGTTTTCCAGATTATTTTGACATTAAACAAACATTGACCATATACAAAAATCTAATTTTTAAAGATGACAGAATCTTAATACCAAACAGTCTTAGAAAGATTATGTTAGAAAAACTACATAGTGGTCACCCGGGAAAAGAAAGAATGCAAAAACCGTGCGTCTTAACACAATTTATTGGTTAAAAATTAGCAAAGACATAGAACAATACATTGACGAATGTGATATTTGCAATAAATATAAAGATAACAAACAAAAATCTAAGTTAATTTTGAGAGAAACACCTAATCTTCCATGGCAAGAAGTAGGCATAGATATTTTGGACTACTGTAACAAAAACTTTATAGTAATTGTTGATTACTTATCTAATTTTACAGAGACATCACAAGTTAAAGACTTAAAAAGTACCACAATAATAACGAAAATAAAATCTGTGTTTGCTAGATTCGGTATACCCCTAACTGTTTACACAGATGGAGCCAAGTATTTTAATTGCCAAGAGTTTAGAAAATTTTCAGATAACTGGAATTTTAATCATGTTGTATCAAGTCCTCATTATCCTCAATCAAATGGAATAGCTGAAAGGGCGGTAAAAAACATCAAACATTTATTCAAGAAATGTAAAGACACTAATCAAGATATTTATTTAGCATTACTAAATCTACGAAATACTCCAAGAGATAAAATGAATTCACCTGCAAAGATCTTATTCAGTAAAAACTTGAGAACAAATATCCCAATACAATTAAAACAACTGAAACCAAATAATACAATAGATGAAGACATAAAAAGTCTAGAAAGACACAAACAAACGTATAAAAAATTGTACTGCAAGGGCAAGAAAGAAAATACTTTTAATAACAATCAAAGTATTATGTTAAGAAAAAAAGATGAATGATACATTGGTAAAAGGAAAAATCATAAGTCCTAGTAAAGAACCAAGGTCTTACATCGTTCAAGACGATTTAAGGAACAAGTACAGAAGAAATGAAAAACATATCCCTAGAAGGTATACCAAAATAACACACTTGAAAACGTATACTTGGGGTCACCAGTTACCCCAGAAATTAATTTAGGAAAAATAAAATAAAATTTTTTGAAAACGTTTATTTAGTGAAGCCAATAGCAACTTTAAGTATTTCTCTTACAGTTTAGACAAATATCAGTACGGTGTTCGTTACATACATTGTTGGAACACATATAACATACAACTCTGCATTTTCGATCACGTGAACGAGGACATATATAACATCTTGACGATTTGAGTTTTTTTGGCGCTGGACCAAGCTGTTCCTCTTCTGAAATATGTGTTAGTCCCAGTACTTCTCGTATTTCACTTTGCAGTTTATTCCATCCAAGGTTTAGCTAGTTGCAGTCCAAGTGATTGCAAAAATTTATTTCGGGTAACTTTGCTAGCGTTACGCGACACATTATATAACACAAAGGCATTTATCGCGGCTTGATCAAGCATCCCATAGAAATATCTAAGTGGCCACCTTCTTGTTTTCCTGGATACGGTGTAGTTGTGAGCCATCTGATCGAATGTATCTACTCCACCTTTGGTGGAGTTGTAAAACTCAATAATTTCTGGTTTCTTCGAAACCTCGTTAACATTCTTGTCAGCGTGCATGGTCGAGATTAGTATGACAGATTTATTTCTTTTTGGTGTAAACGAAACCAACGTCAATTTGTCTGAGAAAGCAAATTCGGAAGTTAGTACGGGTTTATTCTTAGAAGGTAAAAAAGAAGGTGGTATTTCTCTTTTATTATGTCTTATTGTTCCCACGATTGTTAAACCTTTGCTGCTAAGCATTTCTTTGGCTAATGGAACAGACGTAAACCAGTTATCCATTGTAATGTTTCTATTTGTTCCATGAATAGATTTGGATAACTCCTTCACTAAATACATTGGAACAGATTCGTTGGTTGGATTGGTGTTTTTTCCAATGTATGGAATAGCACTTATCATGTAATATGTACGCGAATCACACATACATACAACCTTAATTCCGTATTTGTCAGGTTTAGATCCTATATATACACGAAACGGGCATTTGCCCCTAAAACCAAGTAGCTGCTCATCTATAGTTACGTAGCAGTGAGGAGAGTAACTCTTTGTACAATTTTCTATAAAATCCTCCCATATTTGCCTTATCGGTGAAAATTTGTCTTCACGATTTCTTTTTTCTTTATCGTCAAATCTTAGACAATTCAATAAGAATTTGAAACGTATTTCAGGCATAATGCATCTATATATTTGAGGTCCTTGTGAAGAAAACATTTGTTGTACAGATAGATGTGCATCTTTTCGAGCACCAGCTATGTACAAAAGGCCTAATAGGGCATTGATTTCTACATTATCTGTAGGATGTACGTATTTCGTACCTGGCTGGTATTTGACACCTTGTCTTTCTATTTCTTCATTTGTATGAGTTATAATTTCATTTAAAATTGTAGGTGTGAATAAAATGGCCCAAGCATCTATTTCTGTGATAATTACACGTGCATTCTTTATTCCAGGTACCTTTACCACGATGTTTCTTGAAGGCGTTCTGGTTTTTGCAGGTTCTCGTGAACTCCATGCAAAACCATTTTTGCCCTTCAAAATTCCATCACGTTGAAGTGGACGTTCTTCAAACTCATCATCTTCAGAAGAAGTGTCATCGTTGTGTTCCGACAACTCTTCCACCTTGTCCTCACTGTCACTTTCTGCAAAATTGTCATCAACATCGCTTTCTGATTCATTGTACCATTGTAGGACAGTTTTTTCAAAGTCCGGATCTAGAGCACTAACGGTTTTTTAGACATGTTTCACAAATATTCTATCACACGAAATTACAAATAGTATTATTTTACAATACGCAAATGTATCCTGGGGTCACTCACAACCCCAAATAATATTTATTGAGAAAACGATAATCGGCAACGTAAGGTTCACTGCACGTGTTTATACTATTTACAGTCTATTAACCTTACCTAAACTATCAGCGCCATCAAGCGCGAAATAAGAATATAAGCGAAAAAATTCAATTCTGTTGGGGTCACACGTAACCCCGGTATACCTTCTAGGGATATTTTTGCAAGAAAAGAAAAGGAAGAAGAAAATAGTGAAACAAAGTGTGAAAAAGGTGAAAATGAAGAAGACAATAATACGAATACGTTAAATCAACCTCCTGAACCTGAAACCTATTCCAAATTTCCTAAAAACGACGAGCTAACAATCGTTAAAAATTTTAATAATTATACTACAAGATATGGAAGAAAAATTGTAAATAACTTTAAAGATTTGTAAAAAAAGAATAATAATAATAAATAAATAATGTTAATTTAGCTTAAGAAGGATGTTGTTATATTTGTATTCGATTTTAGTTTTAATATAGACAACCAACTGTACATTTTGTATATACCTTAAAGTTGATTTAAAATAAAGACAGTTCTAAACCTTATACGAAGGAGTTTACATTACCAAATGTAGTGACTTCATTAGGGCCTTTTGCAGCTACACCCTCATGGCAAATATAAGAAAAGGATTTGTTTGTGTTTATGTCCTGAATGCAGAACACCCTTACACTTAATTGAGACAGGTAAAAGAGATCTCACTCCTTTCCAGAATAATGAGATTCCTTAACTGGCAATGACAAGATATGAGTTCTAACAAGTTCTCTTTCACTTTCTTCAATGACATTTCCTTTAATAATGGGTGGCCTACCACTGGTTAATTGAATCGCACAGCCGTTATGGAATATTGTCCTGGGGTCACTCATGTCATGCGGAGAGCCACTTCGGGCTCCAAAGGAGGGTATTGCGAATATTAACAAATTTAAAAACACAAGATAACGTAAAGAATAAATTCATTGATTGCAAAGTACTCACCGTACCGTCTATTTATATTTTGGTCATTTTAATATATATGAGAAAACACATAAAGGATTACAAATTACACAAAACACTGCATGAATATAACACCAGAAACAAAAACGCAATTGTACCAAAGTTTCATAGAATCAACAAGTGCAGAACGGCAAAAAGTTATTATGGTCTAAAATTATTTAACAAATTACCAGAACTCATAAGAGAGCTTCCACTAGGGACTTTCATAAGATGGGTCACTGCTATTCTCCTGGGTCGCGCATTCTACAGCGTACAGGAATTTCTAGACAGTGAAATGATGTAACCTGTAAAGTTTGAAATTTTTAAGTATAAGTAGTTTGTCTGTGTCTCATGTTCTCCGTCAATATTCCAAATTAGTTTTCTATTTATTTGTAAGCGACTTGTGGCAAATCCAACGACATGTAACCAAATGACGAATGGAAAAGAATGTAGATTCTTATTTACCCAAATAAAGTATTATTATTATTATTATTAAAGTATTATAATATTAGTACCCCGTTTATCACAAGGAACTTTATCATTCACAAGTAAACGCTTAATTTTTTTAATTCGTTCGAAACTAGTACCATGAATACTTGCAAATTCTCCTTGACAAACCTTCATTCTATTCATCCCATTTTCCTTGCGTTTTCGTCTTTTGGCTACAGTTGTAGCTTGTAGCAGCCCTTGCAGATAAATGTCTTGCTCCGTTTTTGATTTCATACTACTAGTATAAAATTTTGTAAAAATTAACTTCTGTGCATCACTTATAACGTCAAACTATTTCAGTGGTCAACTAAAAATAATAAGAATGCAGAGAATGTGTTAACACTAAAATAACAATCCAAACATCTCTGAAATAGTACTTACTAGCATCTAGCTCCAATACACTTAGCCTTCATAACTTTCTTCTTGTAATTAATGCATTCTATTCCGGAGACACGAGCATTCCTTATAAAATTTCTTTGATAATTACTACTATTTCTAACACCTTTACGACGCTTTTTTGCAGGCTCTATAGCGTCTTCTTTCTCTGCAGCTTCTATAAGTATATTGTCTTTGTCATGAGAACAACTTGCTTTATTACCGTTCATAATAATTATTAATAATTAACTTTGACAAACGATAAATAGCTCGAACTTATTTTGAGGTAAAATTTAAGCACAGCAAGACTATCATTTGTAACAGACACAACCTAAGTCGGTGACTTATGTTGTTTCAGCAGTAAACGGCTGTGGCGACGTGGCTGTAATTCGGTAACAGTTATCAGCACATAAGTTCTTCCAGCACCAAACAACGGGGAATGGTCGAAACTGTATGTTTACAGGGATAACTCAAAATGGCTAAAAAGTGACGTAGGGTGTTTCAGCAATAAGCGATTCTTGATCATTCGGATTTTTTCGTTTATTAGCTGATGATATGATGAATGAGATTGAAATAATAAATAAGGCCCGCTTTTACCATCTTCCTGATAAACCATCTGAGGGATAATTACCAGGGTTATAGCGATTTTAAGCGTTCTCATTGGTCAAAAGCTGGATTTATCTATCGGATAAATTTATCCAGAGGTGGTAAAAGTAGCCCTAAGAAAGATAAACATATAAAGAAAAGGACGGATCGCAGAAAAACTTGTTACGACAATTGGTGAGGCAACACATGTGCTGATAAAAAAATGAAACAAACACGCTGACACGGCAAATAGCTGTAAAAGCGTGGTACGCTAAACATAGCTAAAATTAAGAAAAATAATGAATAATCCGGCTCGAAGAAGCAAAAGTGTCTTCACGTACTTCACTTTATTGGGACAGCCGCTTAATTGGGACAAAATGCGAGACTGTTGAGATTCAACATTGCAAAAAGTGCTAAGACAAGGAAACCGAAACTAAGCATTCGATCAGCCTCCTGAAAGAGGAAGAAGAAAACTGTAATAAATAAGAACACATTAAAATTATTAATTTATTTCAATTACAAATTTTTTTACTACTAAATAAAATTTAATTGTTATGTCCTTTATGAGCTGAAATAAAAATGAAATTATTTAAGCAGCAGGGACTGTAACAACATCTCCAACACCAGCAACAACCTCTATCTCAACACTTGCCCCAGCGGGTAATTTACCAACTTGAAACGTAGATCTGGCTGGAAAATCACTTTTGAAAACTATAACAAAAATTTGATACAGAATAAATTTGTATTTAAAAAACATAACTTACATTCTTTGTACACTTCATTAACGGCCGCAAAATCATTTATGTTGTTGAGGAATATATGAGTTTTTGCAACTTTATTTAGCGATGATCCAGCAGCTTCTAATATAAAACCAAGTGATTTTAGAGCTTGACGAGCTTCCGGACCTGCTCCTCCTTCAACTAATTTCATAGTATCTTTATTCATCCCAAGAACTCCTGATACATAAACTGTTTTATCTAAGATTACAGCTTGACTAAAACAATTAAATAATTTTTTTTATTATCAAAACAAAAAATAACGATATATTACTTATATGGTCCAACTGGTTTCGGTGCAGCGGCTGTACAAATAATTTTTCTGATCACTTTTGACATATTTTCAATATTATTTAATTATTAATATAATAAAATCTTTTGGAGTTTAATTTAATTGTGATTACATGAACTGTTGCTACAAAGGTCGTTAAAGTGATACTGAGATTTTGTTTATGTGTTAATGGAAAAGATATCACTCATAAAAAAACTTGTTTAAATTTACTTAGATAACACAAACTTTATTTAATATACACTATGTTTTACATCTTAGCTGAAATTGTGGTGACTTCACCAACGGCCGCAACAGCTTCTATTTCAATATCAGCTCCTAGAGGTAACTTTCCAACTTGAAAAGAAGAACGAGCGGGATAATCGCCTTTAAAAACTAAAATAAATAAAATTACGATCAAGATATTAAAAAGTAAATATTCCTTTACATTCTTTATAGACTTCATTAACTGCTCCTAAGTCGTTAATATTGTTCAAAAATATTTGTGTTTTAACTATATTATCATAACTAGATCCTGAAGCTTCCAAAATAACTCCAAGCCACTTTAATGCTTGACGAGCTTGAGGTATTGTACCACCTTCAACTAATTTTGATGTTTCTTTATCTATACCTAAGACTCCAGAGACGTAAACCGTTTTATCTAACACCACGGCTTGGCTAAAAAATTAAATTATTAACTTTACAGACAGTTTAGATAAACTGTAATTAATTTGAGATAAATCAACTTTAATTACCTATAAGGTCCAACTGGTTTAATTGCATTGGATGTGCTAATAATTTTCTTAATGGCTTTAGACATTTTCTTTCCTAACACAAAAATTAAGACTCAAATTCTTATTGTATCCCGTGAGTTAACCGGTTTTTAATCTGACCTCACAAAAGGACTTATTTAAAGTGAATACGTCGACTAAAACAGCTAATAAAAACTAATAAGCCCAAGGTTATTCGCTGATCCACGTGATAATTTTTAAAATTTTTTAATTTGGTCTAACACTGTATAAAAGTAGGGAAAGAGTTGAGATAATGTTAAAAATAAATAATCGAGATTACATATTGTTTAGATAACAAAAAATGATATTAATCAAACAATCTAATCAATCATTTTAAAATAATTTGATATTAATTTTATATTTCCCGCGATTATTTAAAAATCATCTTCAATCAATCATCTTCACAAACATTTTTAAATAATTATTTTATTATTTTATAGTTAGATATAAAGTTAGATTAATTATGTTTTATTTTTATTAGACAATAAAACACATTTCAGTGAATAGAATACGTTTGGCTTGTCATTAGGTTTATTGTGGTTTTTACTTTATGCTTCGTCATTTGTAACTCATGTCGGTAGATCACAGATGTCGGTAATACATAGGACTATCTACAGTATGTCCCTGAATAGGTGAAACGACTCTTATAAAAGGTACAATGGGGTCATACACGATTTTTTTTTTATTATATTTTCTGAAAATTTATATAAAAATATAGTTACCGTTATTTTTTTTTAATATTTTCGAACAAAGTCATTGTTAAAAAAATTATTGAAAATTTATATACCCATTTGCGCTTTTAAAATTCCCGCGTTGATGACGTACGATTCTCACTTTTGCGTCCCCTGCTCCCCGCTCAAATGCGAGAAAGAGATGAACGTCATNTAGTACGTAAAAGTGTTACTCAGAAGTTTTGTTCAGCATGAAAAGTTGGCCCTATGCAAATTTTCGGAATGATCGGCCTACTTTGAACAAATCCATATCAAAAAATTTTATTTCTGACAAAGACTGCCATGGAAAAACAAAATTGCTTTCCTGTCAATGAAAAATTTCCAAATACTAGAGAGTCGTTTCACCTATCGGGGGACACACTGTATATTATACAGTGTGTATATTATACATCCTTCCTCTTAAATTTAAAGATTTGATCTTTGCGGACATTTTTACTAAACGACCAAATCGTGTACCAAGCGGACATTTAATAGGTTAAGACAATACAGTAGTATTACTAGAATCTGTACCAGTCTCATTTACAGGTTGTGTTACATCACATCCTTTTACATCAAGTTCATCAGAAATGTCATCCTTAATTAAACTTATTATTATGGATAGCGCCCTACACATGGTAGTGGGGCGCATCAAACAAGCACTTGATTCGAAAGAGTCAATTCTGGGAACTTTCCTTGACATAGAGAGAGCGTTTGACAAAACCACCTTTAGTAGCATTAATCTGGCACTGGAATCTCGAAGAGCGCCATTGGTCATCGCAGGCTGGATAAAAACAATGCTAGCAAGCAGAGTTGTTCAGGCTAAGGCGAAAGGACAAGGTGGGGTACTCTCACCGCTTCTCTGGTGCTTAATAGTTGATGATCTCATTCGTGAGTTTAATAATAAATACCTCTTCACAGTTGGTTACGCCGACGACGTGGCTATCTTGTTAAGAGGTAAACCTGACAGTTTTCTTTGTTACAGAATGCAGCGCAGGCGCTTAAACTTGTTGAACGATGGTGCGAAGAACATACCCTACCTGTCAATCCTAAAAAGACAGAGACTGTTCTCTTCACTAAACAGAAGAAACTGGCACACTTAACACCACCCAATTTTTACAATAATCCATTATCCTTTGCTCCAGAGGTGAAATATCTGGGTGTTATCTTGGACAAAGGACTAACTTGGACATCACACATTAGTTGTAAAACCAAAAAAGCAACGATTGTACTGACCCAGTGCCGAAAGGCTATTGGGAATACTTGGGGATTAAATCCGAAAGTTACAACGTGGATCTACACTTCTATGATAAGACCCATGGTAGCTGACGGAGCCATAGTTTGGTGCTCAGCACTAAAACATGCATATAAAGCTACATTGCTGCATCAATTGCAACGACTGGCCTGCCTGCTAATCACAGGCGCTATGAAATCTACACCTACGATTGCAATGGAGACTATGCTGAACGTGCTGCCCCTAGATATTTTGATCAGGGAGGTGGCCGTGATGGCATTGCTTCGACTGCGATCAGTAAATGAAAAGCAGGTTGTTAAAATGGGAATAGTCCGGAGCAAGCTCTGGAGTGAGGCTGTTAGTAAACAACCCCTCCTTAAAGCTCGCACAGACTACATTACACCTACTTTCTTAGGCAAGCCACACTTTGGCATTGAAACGATACCGCAGAGCAACTCAAGCTCGGGCAAAACGCTGATCATCTACACTGATGGATCAAAGAAGGCTGCAGGTTCCGGAGCGGGAATTTTCTCGCACGATCTCCAGCTGCCCCTTTCCACTTCGTTACGATCGTATTGCACGACTGCTCAAGCCGAATTAACTGCTATAAACATAGCAGCCGATGCGATTATCGACTCCAAAAAAGTCGACAGAAACGTTGTAAATTGTACTGATAGCAGACAGGCTATGCTGGCGGTTGGTAGACACCACACGCATCATCGTTGGTGAAGTATTGTCGGCAATCACTCAACGAGGCAAACGTATACAACAACGGCACGATAAAGTGGCGAAAAGGTCATGGCTGGCGAAACGGGCGGCTAACAAGTCACCAATCTCCCCTGAACCGTTTTGTACCACTAGCTGTTAATACAGCATCAAAACTGATAAACTCCATCTCCCACCGAGCTTTTTGCGACAGATGGGATGAGACAGAAGTAGCTGCCTTTGCTAAGAAAACTCTGCTCTACCCTGACCGGAAGACATCTACTCAGTTTCTAGGAAAATCAAAAAGTGACTTGACACCGCAGGTTACGTAAGCACATGTTTTACATAAATCTGCCGAATATACCCCTCTGTAGAGGGTGTGAAATGGAAGACGAGACGGTAAGTCATATTGTTTGCGACTGTCCCAACTTCGCGTACTTATGTAAGGGAATCCATTTTCGGAGTACCATGAAAAAAGATTGGGCTGGTTTTCTGACCCTTGAATGAATAGTAAATTGTGGGGACGTACAAAGGGTCCGCTGGGGCCTAAGTGCAGTGAAGTAACTCACCCCCACATGAAACTACATACATAAACTTATTATAAGACTTTCTTAAATCTACTCGATTTCTACGGATAATATTCCCACATTCTGTTTGTACAATATAGGAACGAGGAAAGGGATTCCTATCCATAATATTACCAGATTCCCAAGACTTGTTAATTGGATTATGTACTTTGACACTCTGTTCTAATGCGATCGGGGGCAATTGCTTCGACGTTCGATTGTAATACTCCTCATTTACTTGACTTCTTTTTCTCAAATTTTGTGCCACGTTTACACAAATGTTTGGTTTTAACATTTCAGTAGTGTTCGATTTATTATAATGATGGTTTGTTGGATTGTTAATTATACAGCCGCTAGAGTGTACGTACTGAAGACTCAAGTTACCGACGCTAATAAAATAAAATTGACAGTAGAGTCGTTGACATGTTGTTGACATTCGACAGAAGCGCATTATTTTGTATAACGACGTATCGTAACGAAATAATAATAAAGTTTTCATTCATAGCCAATTTGTGGTTCCTGACAAAAACATAATGGTCCTTCGAGCCGGATTTAGAATGGTATAGGATTAGAAGAGGATCTTGGTTCCAAATTCAACGAACACGACGTGACAAGACGTACGAGACTGACGTTATCAACGGACGCGGTAGCATTTTAAGCGCTCTTCACATGATCAATATATATTGTCAATAAAATATTGTCAATATGGCCAATAAATATTGACAAACTGTAATTGCCTCAGACTATCAATATTTATTGACAATCAAATCACAAATTAGTTTTGCGTTGGCAATCAAAGATGTCATGTCATGTTTGCATGTGTTAATGAACCATCTAGGGAGTTAACAGCACTTTCGTCCATTAAAGTATATCTGTCTGAATTCATTATTACGCGATATAATTAGTAATATAATCCTACTAACGTAGAATTGTCGATATCTCTCTCAGACTGTCAATATTTATTGTCAATATATCAAATACTTTCGTTTTCGTCAAACCTGGTCAAACCATCCCATCAATATTTTTAATCTTTCTACTCACACGTTCAATAATGTTGCCAATTGTACTTAGATATTGACAATATATAGAGGCTGTCCCGAAACTTAACGTTAAGCGGGCACCGGGTGAGAGGCCAACTCATACCTGTTCTGGTAAAAATAAGAGAAAAATTCTATGTCTCTTAATTTAGTGGTAATAGCCGTATGTTTGAAAATGTTAAAAATCATTCCCGTACATCATATAATCATGCTACTATAGAAATCACAAATCAAACAACAAAAGTTAGTTTTGCAAAAAAAACTATTAGTTTGATCTAGTCTAGGCTAAAAGAATTTTTGTCTATTAAGTTTGACACACGATTTCTAAAAAAAAGTACAACACCCTTGGCAGGTTATTTTAAAAGATGGTCTGTTTAGTCAAGTTTCCAAAATGGTACAACACTTGCCATTTTTGTTTTCATAAAAAATATTATTGCCTGTTTTTCTGCAAAAAAGACGTTATTTAAAAAATTCATACTTTCGTATGCTATTTGTATTTACTCTTTATTTCCTCTTAACTTTGTTAGAAGATGTGCCAGTCAATATTCACATATAATACAGCTATATTCGCAGACGACACAGCGATCTTGGCTGTTGCAGAAAATGAAGTAGTTGCAGCAAATAAGTTATTCAATTGTTAGTTATATACAATAAGTTATTTTCAATTGGCATTAAATTCAATAGAAAATTGGACCAAACGATGGCTAATAAAACTAAATACAAATAAATCGACATACATAAACTTTACTTATAAGAAAGTAAACTATGTCCCAGTACACATAAATGGTAATGCAGTCCCTTACGCCGACACCGCAAAATATCTTGGTATGACGCTGGATACCAAACTCAAATGGAAAGCTCACGTCAAAAAAAACGTGAGGAACTTGATATCAAATTTAGACACCTATATTGGCTTATTGGCAGAAAATCAACGCTATCACTAAGAAACAAGTTGCTAATATACAAGTAAGCATTAAAACCAAAATGGACATACGGAATCCAACTGTGGGGTTATACCTGCAAGACAAATGCAAATCTGATTCAAAGATTCCAGAACAAAGTACTAAGGTACATAGTGAATGCACCCTGGTATATAAGAAACACCGACCTCTATCGGGACTTGAAAGTAGCATCGGTGTCATCAGAAATTGCATCATTCGCATCTAAACATGAGAAGAGAATGCACGATCATCCCAACATCCAGGAAACCCAGGTTCTCGACAACGAGGATGTCCTGCGTCGTTAAAACGGTAAAAATATGACAATATTTATCGATATTATGGGTAAAGCAGACTGGACCACTGGGAAAAGCTGCAAAACATTATCTAGTTTAATTTAGTGTTAAAAATAAGTAACTAATTAGTATGTATTTACTAGGTGTTATACAATTGTGCTACGCATAATATAGAAAAAAAAATTCTATTTTCATGCTCCTCCTCGGTTGCTCCAGTTATTATCAAATCATCGAAATAAATTCCAACTCCTTTTATATCACCAAAAAATTGATATAAATTGTTCTTTTCAAAAACTTCAGGCGCAGATCGAATACCAAATGGCATTCTTAAAAACTGATATTTGCCAAATGGTGTTACAAATGTGCGGTATTGTGAACTTTCTTCATCAATTTTCTCTTGGAAATAACCATCCTTCATATCTAATACACTAAAGAACGCTTTATTTGATAATTTACTAGCAATTTCTTCCACTATTGCTATTAAAAAATGCTCTTTGCTGATGGCTTCATTTAAATATCATCATTTTTCTTTTCTACTATGGCCAATAGATTAAGCCAATTAGTTGATTTATCTACTTTACAAACAATACCTTGTCGTTCCATGCTATCTAATTTTTTTCTAAGTCTTTCATGTAACAACTGTGGAATTCTTCTGATAGGCTGAATGTGAGGAATAGCATCTTTTTTTAATACAATTTTATGACAATTTAGAAACTCACCCAACCCTTCAAAAACCAGGGGAAATTTATCTACCACATCAGTTACAATCTTAACACTGAAAGTATTAACAGCAGCTAATTGTTTGACCAAATTCAACCTAACATAGTCATCCAACCCTAACAACTAACAAAGGCATTTGCACATTATTATCAACAACAATAAAGTTTATTTTTTCGAAATTAGTTTTCACTTTACAATTTAATACAATTTCTCCTTCAAGCTTTATTTTAAAATCGTAATTTGTACAGATGTCGGTAATACAGAGGACTATCTATATTTAATTAAATTTTAAAATGCATTCTAAACTATATTCACAGATATTTATAAAAAATAATTTTGAGGTTATACATTTAGGTTATGTTCATGTCACATGTGACAGTTAAAACGATTTAAACAAAAATTACTTCATCAACAGTAAAAAGAAATGTCTTCGGAACTTTACGAACGTGAAAATACGGAATTACCATCCCAAATCCGTCTTTTACCATTTACAGCAGCAAGATGCGACGAAATAATAGCAATGAAAAAAACTCTCGGATCATCGAAAGCCACAAAATTGATATTTCAAAAATTACCGCTTCACATGCGACGACGTGTTATGTCTCATAATGTGAAACGATTACCAAGACGACTTCGTGAGGGGCATATGAGTCAGTTAAAAAAATCTGGGTTACCTCCGAAACAGAAACGGCCCTCCCGTAAATACCGTAGGAGACCAAAAAGTTTATTGAATGAATATAATAGGAGACAGAAAAAATTTAAATGGTTAGAAACACATATTTGGCATGCAAAACGATTTCATATGATTGAAAGATGGGGTTATAAGTTAGCATATAGTCCATGTGATAAAGCTTTTAGAGCTTGTTATAGAGCTACAAGTAAACATTGTTTATTACAGGATATTTCTTATTATGGATGTATAGAAATAAATGGTGATGAAATTTTGATTGTTGACGGCTTTAAAAAGTTGTATGATCCAAGAATTAATATGAGTTTAGGGGCTAAAGCTTTTATTAATGGAAATAGAGAAGGTGAATTGATGTTGTTTGATGAGAATAAAAATGCTATTGGAAATGTTATGTTTAATTGGAAGCCTAAAGTTATTAATGAATTAAGAATGATTTGGATTTGGTGTCACCCAGCAAATTTTTCCAACATATTAAATACTTTGATGCGAATTTTTGATTTAACTCCAAAAAGTGAAGAAAACCTTTTATTTTGTAATGAATCAACAAAAATTACCATAAAAAATTTAAAATTTGATTTAAATAGATTTCGATTAACTGGGCCTTTATCACATACAATTTTACAAAAAGCTTTAAAAACTTGTTTACCAGAATACATAACTGATTCGAATTTAAATTCACAAATAATTTATTGGAATAATCTAGAAAATTTAGCATCTCCGAGTCAGTTATCTCCACATATTATTTTAAATATAACTGCTGAAGATCCCAGATATAATATGCCTAAGATTAGAACAAAAGCTTTGCCCATTAATGGTGCATTTGATAACAAATATTTGTATGAAATACCCCAAAATATGGGAGCTGGACCTATTTGGAATGAAGGTGTTCGAAAGGAGATTAAAAAGAATCAAATTCCGACATCAAAAATTTATGAAATGAGAAGCAAATATTTGGTTCCTAACGATGAAAAGAATAAAGGCATTTCTGTGCCTTATATGTTAATACAACGGCCAGGAAATAGAAATGAATATTTAGGTAAAAAAAAATTGTTATATACAGTGTGTCCCAGGATAAATGTTACAAGAGGTATAATGACTTAAAAATGTTTGAATTTTATTTTAAGGTTAAGGAATTAAGCTCTGCTTGGTGTGAAGAGAACTTCAAGAATATTTTCATATTTTGAAAACAAAGGCAGCCTTGACAGTGAGTCAAAAACTATTTTTAGTTTAGGTAAAGTAATCTTTTTGTGCATTATACTAAAATATTTTATTAAGAAAAGTTGTTCAAAGTGAGAAATTATTATACACAATTTCAGAAGGATCTATCTACTTTGGTTGAACCATCACATTTTAGTTTAAATAACATAAATATTGTATGGTAATTGAAATGTGAACTAAAACTGAGGGATAATACAATTTATTTGGCAATATTTGCGATTACTTAAGTCATTTTTTTTTATGGCATTTTTTATACGCGTGTGAAGTTGGCCATAGATTTCATCCATAGATTTTAAACTGAAAAAAATGCGTGATTGGGGTATTCAATCGATCTAATTTCAACGTATACATGGTTGCCTCTTGTTTCAGATTCGAAAAGAAAATTTTCCTAACCATTTCTTATTTTCCGAGAAAATCGATTTTCTTCAAACTTTCGCAAAATTTGGCTCGTTCGGGGTTTTTAATCGATCTAATTTCAACGGCATCGTATTCCTGGTGGCTTCTTGCTTCAGATTCGAAAAGAAAATTTTCTTAACCATTTCTTATTTTCCGGGAAAATCGATTTTCTTCAAACTTTCGCAAAATTCGGCTCGTTCGGGGTTTTTAATCGATCTAATTTCAACGGCATCGTATTCGTGGTGGCNAGTTTAAAATCTACGGCTGAAATCTATGGCCAACTTCACACGCGTTGTTTTCTTCCATAACTTTGTACCACCCTTCTGGTGAATAGATCCGTAGCGCGTATTTTCTATGCCTCTTCTCTATTAAGGCAAAGTCACGATCAGATGGCAAGTGAGTATGTCCACTTCTAAAAAGTTCTCTCTAATTAACTGTAGCCAGAGAGATATTACGACCCAATTTTTGTTTTGACCTGGGTAGTTATCCGTAAATATTACAAGATCCTGGAATATAAGAAATGGTTAGGAAAATTTTCTTTTTGAATCTGAAGTAAAAGGGTACCAGGAATACGATGCCGTTGAAATTAGATCGATTAGACACCCCGAACAGGCCGAAATTTGCGAATGTTTGAAGAAAATCGGTTTTTCCGGAAAATAGGAAATGATTAGGAACATTTTCTGTTTCAATTTAGAGCAAGAGGCGATCAGGAATACGATGTCGTTGAAATTAGATCGATTAGGCACCCCGAACAGGCCGAAATTTGCGAATGTTTGAAGAAAATCGGTTTTTCCGGAATATAAGAAATGGTTAGGAAAATTTTCTTTTTGAATCTGAAGTAAAAGGACACCAGGAATATGATGCCGTTGAAATTAGATCAATTAGAAACCCCGAACAAGCCAAAATTTGCGAATGTTTAAAGAATATCGGTTTTCCGGAAAATAGGAAATGATTAGGAACATTTTCTGTTCTAATTTAAAGCAAGAGGCGACCAGGAATACAATGCCGTTGAAATGAGATCGACTAGAAACCCCGAACCGAATCGGCCGAAATTTGCGAATGTTTGAAGAAAATCGATTTTCTCGGAATACAAGGAATGGTTAGAAAATGTTCTTTTCGAATCTGCAGCAAGAAGCGACCAGGAATGTAATGCCGTTGAAATGGGATCGATTAGAAACCCCTAACAGCCCGACATTTGCTTGTGTTTGAAAAAAAACAATTTTTCCGGAAAATAAGAAATGGTTAGGAAAATTTTCTTTTCAAATCTGAAGCAAGAGGCCACCAGGAATACGATGCCGTTGAAATTAGTTCGATTAAAAACCCCGAACGAGCCGAATTTTGCGAAAGTTTGAAGAAAATCGATTTTCCCGGAAAATAAGAAATGGTTAGGAAAATTTTCATTTCGAATCTGAAACAAGAGGCGACCATGAATACGATGCCGTTGAAATTAGATCGATTGAATACCCCGATCACGCATTTTTTTCAGTTTAAAATCTATGGCCAACTTCACACGCGTATTTTTTATTGGTTTTTTTCTTCAGTCTGATCTACGAGCTCTAACAACTATACCGGGTGTAACAGGATCTGATACACCCCCGTATGTCCTTAGGTTTTGAAGATAATTGATTCAAATTTGGGACATCCTATACACATGATAAGAGACACTTTTTGACATACAAGTAATTTTTTTTTCAATTCCGGTTTCGCCGGAAGTGACACTAACTTTAGATTTTTAAATGGAACACCCTGCATATTATTAAATTTTTGAAATCTGAATAATTTTCTGAATCTAATGGTACCACATAAGTGACATTTTAAACGTCAATATTTTTTAGAATTTAATGTTTAATTTTCCATTTAAGTGTGCCATGAGAGTTCCGTTTTATTCTAATTAAAAAAATTAAATTAATGCTAGAAAGACTAAATTCCAAGTTCATCAAAATGGTTTTTGGGGTATAACCCAATTTTTTCTAATGGAAGAAATTTATACCTAGTATTAGAACATACGATAAATACAATAAAAATTACAGTTAAACAAAATAAGAAAATAAAATTTTGATCTAATTAAATGTTAAGACGTTACTAAGGTGGCTTTGTAATTAAAAAAATGAACACAAAACATTATATCAGTTGTTCAAAATGCTGTCCATTAACGTCATTGCACTTCTGAACTCTCACAGCTGTTTCCCGAAGAACATTTTCCAATTGCTCGGCCGTTATGCTATTAAGTGCTCGTCTTACTCGTAGCATAAACAATGTTTTTTAAATGGCCCCAAACAAAGAAATCAAGGGGTGTCAAATCAGGTGACCTTGGAGGCCACCTTATTGGACCATTTGTCGAAATTACGTTGTCTCCGAATCTTTGTTGAAGGTAATTAATTACTGTTCTTGAATTATGGGGAGGAGCTCCATCTTGTTGGAAATACATTTCCTGTTGGTGGGGTAACTGGGCTAAACTACCCGCAATTTCCTTTTGCAGAAATCCTAAGTATCTGTCTCCAGTCAGGGGTCCTTCAAATATTATTGGACCAATGATTCTACTATCGATTATTCCAAGCCAGACATTGAAACCGAACCGCACTTGAAAGTTACCCTCCCCCAATAAATTTTGATTTTCTTGTCACCAATATTTTATATTTTGTCTGTTGAATAATCCCAAATTCGTAAATCTGGATTCGTCCGAAAATAAGATCATTCCCAAAAAATCATTGTTTGGCTGCACGTTATTCTGCAAAATCCAATTGCAATATTCCATCCTACGTTCGTAATCATTTTCATACAAGTGCTGGTGCAATTGGTATTTAAAAGATTTATACTTGTATTTGTGCAAAATTCGGCTTACCGTTTGGTGACTGATATCCAATTCAAACCCTTAAAGTCTTAAAGAAAGAGTCTTATCAACTTCTATTCGTGCCAAAACATTAATTTCCGTTTCTTCGTTAATAATTGAATTATCTTCGGGATCATGGTTTCTCGCTGGACATTGTCTATCAGGATATCGTTCGGCATAAAGGTTTCTAGCTACAACGGCATTTCTTCTACATTCCCCATAAATAATTAACATGTCCACTTTTTCATCTCTTGTATAAGTTTCCGGCATTTTGAACACAATTAACAATAAATGTAAACACTTTTTAAAGACACAATAAAAACACCGATAAACAAACAATCTACCTTGTGTTTGACATATAAACAGTTTCATTGTTTCCAAAGCCACCTTAGTAACGTCTTAATTTAACTGGTTGTAAAATTTAATTTTTCGTCTGACTACTTTCGCCTTATAGGCCTTATAGGCCTTATATCTTCAGAGACTTCGTTAAAAATGTGAAGTTACATCCATCTTATCAAAAAATAATTATTGGATTGACAGATTATGTTGTAGAACATTTCTTAATTCCGAAAAATACCATAAAATTAGTTAAACTTTGAAATTTAAAGACGAACACGTTACTGTTTAAAAATGGTTGAATTACGTCGTTGTTAAAAA